ATATATATATATATATATACGAGGACGGTTTGAAAAGTCCATGCAAAGTCAGAAAGATAGTACTACTGGTGTGTATTGAGATTATTTTCAGTTAGTAGCATCTCTTGGAAGAACACACACCAAGTTTCAGCCAGACTGATCTATTTCTTTGTATTTGGCATTGGTCTGAATCGAGGAAGTCGAGTGATTTCTTGTTGAAAAAGATTATTTCATATTCCAGTAGACACAATCTTTCTTAAAGTTTATTTATCACACTGAATACCAAGTGAACCACAATAAAAAAAATGAAGATACAAGTGAAACTGTTTTATGGCTTTTACTCTCCTTCTTAGCACGCACGCAAGATTTTTTAGCAAGTTTAAACTAAAAGATCTTAAGGTGAAACGAGAGCTATATACGAGAATAGTCTGAAAAGTTTTGAGCTTAACATAGAAACAAGTATTTTTTCGGTCAAATATAGTTTTATTTTTCAATATAATCTCCTTTTAAGTCGATACTTTTCCCATCGATACTCTAACTTCTTTAACCCCTCCAAATAGTAGTTGGCGTCTTGCTCCGCAAAATTGGCAGGCGTTTACGTATGCGACCCCTTCGTTAGATGAAAAGTTGTATTACGAGTTGTTACAATCGGGTGAAACAATCACGGCAGACCGCTACCAACAACAATTGACCAATTTGAGCGATGCATTAAAAGAAAAGGGACCATTTACTGGCCAAGGACGTCGTAAAGTGATCTTGCTTCATGACAATGCTCGACCACATATTGCGAAAGCGACTCAGGACCATATCTTTGCGTTAGGCTGAGAACTTCTCCCGCACGCGGCGTATAGCTCAGACATGGCGCCTTCCGATTACTACCTATTCCGGTCGCTGCAGCATCATTTGGCTGATACACATTTCGTGAGATTTGAAGAGATACGAAAATGCATTGATGACTTTATCACTTCGAAGCCGGTGAGCTTCTATCGTAAGGAATTCGCAAACTACCCGAAAGATGGCAAAAGGTCGTTAATGCAAACGGGCGAATATTTCGCTGATTAATATTTTTTTGTTTGTTTTTTAATAAAGATTGAATTTTACAAAAAAAGCTCAGAACTTTTTTGTACATCCAATATATTAAAGGATGAGTACAAAAGCAGTTACAAACTTCTTCGCTTATTCGTTACTTTGTGATACTCTCTGCGCGAGATCTCTCGACTCTGTGCTGCTCCTCGCGCTCATTGCCTCTTATATCTTTTGACTCACACACACGTATCGTTTACATACACGTACGCACACAACTTTACAATGTTTTTCCAAAATCTGGACTACGTATCTCGAAACGCTATGTCAAACGACACCGATCGCGTCTGTCGGACGTCGAACGCTACAGCCAATTTTGCTGAAGACGCCGCTGTCTTCAAAGCATGACGCCGCTGCCTCCATCAAATAACGCCGATTTCTCTTATGCGACATCGCGATTTCTTCCATCGGACGTCTCTCTCTCTCTCTCTCTCTCTCTCTCTCTCTCTCTCTCTCTCTCTCTCTCGCGCGCGCGCGCGCGCGTGTGCGCGAGTTTATCGCGCGGCCGCGCAAGTCGCTCGCGCGATGACGATTAAAAAGAAGTCAACTCAAGGAAGATTTATGCCAAACGACCACGTGTCAGAGCGCCGTACGTCATGTACGTACGCGCAATACCGGGAATCGCCGGATAACATGGTTACCGTAAAATCAGATCGTAAAATAGGGTCGCGATCCCCGCGACGTGCCGGCCGACTTTGCTGGATGCTCTTTGTATATTGAAGCAGAAGATCGCACGCGCGACGCGTTTTCCCACGCGATTTTTCTGCCGCGTAACGTGACTTTAATTTGACTCATCGAATATGAGCGATATTAACGATAGAAATTTTAGCTAAAGCTTATTGCAATTAAAGCGATCACAAACTAATATAACCAGAACAGAATATTAATTTTTGAAATCGTTGATGTAAAAGATGTTGTAAGAAACATTAACAGTTTGTTTCTTCTTTCACATTGTTCAATTCGTAATGATTAAAATCAATTATTTTATAAAGTGAATATTAATAGAGTCTGAGATCTGTTCAAACTCGAAAAGAATTCCTTGCAAATTTCTTGATTCTTAAGATAATTTGTTAAAAGTCTCAGGTAAAATAAAGTGTTTTTAGATGTATCTTATAAATAAATAATTATGTTGTGTTAATTATAAATAAATATTTATTTTGCAAAGTTTCTAATATTTTTCGTTTATAAAAGTTCATTTCAAATTGTTAAATAATATTAAGAATTACTTGAGTTTCAATAATTAAATTTGTAAAATTGTGAGACAAACTGTAAGGATTCTAAAAATCAATTATGTTACATAAAATTTTCAAATTTTATTTTCAAAAGCTACAAACAAAAAAATGACATAATGCATTACCGGTACAAAATTCAACTTTCATAAAACTATTAAAACAAATATCTATTTTTATTAAATAAAATTGCGTCTAACACGAAATTGTTGTGTTCAATATCGAATATATTGAATTACTTATAAAATCAATACTCTGATGTTTAGAATAGAATCCATTGTTATTGTTAATAATTCAGTCGATAAATCTCCCGATTATAATATAAAAACAAAATATTAAAAAAAACAACTTCAATAAAAGAATTTTCTGACTTTCAATAACATTCCCTGCGAGTTTTCTAATTTTGCAAAGCATAAATAAATTTCCCAAAGATTCTAACTTTTCCAGCTTTTTCCAGATAATAGGTATCTTAATTAAAATTTAAGATTTATATAAATCGTGTATTTGTGTAAATAATATGCAAATTAGTTATTTAAAATTAATTAGTATCAATAGTAATACTAAATGCATGTTTTATAAAAATGTCGTCTTTATGCCAAATATATCGTTATCGGAACGTCATTATGACAACGCTTCCCGCAATAAACCGAGAGTTTGCAAATCGATCACTTTCTTTTTATTGCGCCAAGTTGCCGCAATAGGAAGGACGTAAGCACGAGATTTTATTGCTGTATGCACAGGAAACGTGGAAATACTTCACGATGGGAAGTGGGGCAGTATATGCGATGACGAATGGGACGACATCGAGGCCAATGTGGTTTGCAAGCAATTAGGCTTTAACGGTGCAATTAAAGCAACAACATACGGCCATTTCGGTCAAGCCAGAAGTGAGACGAAATTATTTATCTTTTGTTCATTTTAAACCGCCGTCTTTCACAGTCGAATGCAATCGCATGTATTATTAAGAGCAAGACAAGAAGCTGTTCGTTTATTTCAATTTATCGACGAACACATGTCACATTTTTAGCGTATCGCGTGAATTTTTATCTTCCAGAGAGAAATCCGAAAACAACAATATCATCGCTTATTATATATCTTCCATTTTATTTTATATTTTATTTTATTTCACTTTGCCATTCGTTTAATCGTACGGTCGTACGTTAATTTACCGATCGACGTGATGCATTTATCGCATAAACGTGCGATTTTATTCCATTCAAACTCCCTCGAAGGAAGGTATTGGATGGACAACGTTTATTGCGACGGATCCGAGAACGAACTCGCGAAATGCCGTTTCGACGGATGGGGCATTTCCGACTGCGGTAGCAACGAAGCTGCCGGCGTCATTTGCTCGCACGACGAGGAAGCGAGAGCACCAATCCCGCAGGAGAAGTCACCGAAGACCAGAATAAAGGACACGTATCAGCAAGGCACGGCTGTACGATTATCCGGAGGACGCGTACGTTCCGAGGGTCAGGTGGAGATTAAACTGGGCAATGCAGGTAGCGAAACAATTTAAAACCGTAAAAACTGGCTAATTATAACTGAAAATTAGTGAAAAATTAAATTCAATTCTAAAAAAATTCCATTCTTCACTGCAGATCCGACAAAAAACGTGAAAGAATGTAAATAATATAATTGATATAAATTCGAATAATAATACTAAAATGCTGCCTCGTGCAACGTACAGCATTCGGCCCACATTTTTTTAAAAATGCGCTATTAAATTACTAGAATAAATACAAAAGTAAAAGTGTACGTGTATACGTTTGGATTTTTGCAATTTAAATGATTTTTACAGTCAGCAGGAAAATTGTAATATATTTATATACAACAGACATGTGAAACTCGCTCGGTCATTCCATTTTCAGATTGGGGTGTCGTCTGCGGCGATAGCTGGTCCATTCTCGAGGCTGCCGTGGTTTGCCGTCAATTGGGTCTCGGTTACGCTTCCAACGCGGTGCAGACTAACTTCTTCAGCAATGGGAAAACAGCACCGATATCGATCAGCGGCGTACAATGTAATGGGAACGAGGGGAATCTGGCAGAGTGCCTGCACGATAAGATTGCAGATTGTCCAGGTACTCCTGACATCTTTGTTAGAATATTTAAAAAATTAACAACGATGCTAATATCCACAACATCTTAACAGATGTATTCTGAAGATTAATTAATGTAAGAAAAGTATATCCCATAAAAATAAGAGAAAGAAAATAGAAAAAGTTTGTAAAAGTTATTTGTTTCTTTATGTTGTTTCTTATCAGACTTGCTTTCTTAACAGATAAGAAATCAGTCATGACAGAACTCAGAAAAAAAATGTAAACAAAGTAGATCTACATTTACTGAGACAAAGTCTCTTCCGATTTACGTCATACAGAGCTCACTTCCTGTATAAATCTGACAATAATCTTGCCTCTTAACTTTTTCTCATTTCCTTTACACAGTACGTTTTAAACATGTCGCATATAATATAAGCGTATATAATGTAAATATTAGCATATAATGTAAATGTTTAGACATCTGAGATAAGAATATTCATTTCACAGAGCGAGTACGAAGCTTAATCGATATCGGTTTATTATTCGGTATTGCGTAAGACTCGACGGGAAATAATCTCGTTGCAATTTAAGGAACGACGAAGAACGTGGCGGGGGTGGTGTGCAATCAGCAAATGGCCGATCTCGTCTTCGATCACATCGAGCTGATGCGCACGGCACATTTGGAGGATCGTCAACTTTACTGGCTGCAGTGCGCGATGGAGGAAAATTGCGTGGCCTCGCAAGCTTACAAAGTGCTACGCGAATCCGGAAACTGGCATCTGGAGACGAGGCGATTGTTGCGCTTCACCGCAAGGATCTTAAATGCGGGCACCGCGGATTTTCGTCCCTCAGTGCCTAAACACCTATGGGAATGGCACATGTGTCACATGTGAGTCAATCGAGAATAACGACGAAAGATCGTGAGCGCCGATAACGAATCGTTATCCGTTTCTATTTCGAGTATCGTCGATATATGCGCCAGATATTCTTGCCTGCTAACGAGTAATCCAAAACCGAATATCTAAAATCGATGAGTTATAATAAAAAAAAAAAAAAAAAAACTTCCAGTTTGCATTGCATTGAACTGTTCGGAATATGACGGCTGATTGTTAACATTAAAAATCTCTACACTCAATTATCAAGTCTAACTTCTGACTTTAAACAAATAATAAATGAATCAATGGAAGTCGTTTATTGCAAAATACATTCTTTGTTTAACATTTTAAGTTGAAATTTCTTATTTTTCAATCAGACTTTTTAGCTTTTATATTATCAAAAAGCTAGAAAAATTTAGCTAGGCAAATTTAATTTTTATATTATCAATTTTAATTCAGATTGATTTATTTTACTTTATTTTTCACTTTTTATTATACGGAAAAACAATTAGTCTTAAATCAAGTATATATTATCATATATACTAAATATATAAGTAAGAATATTATACTCTTTATATAAAGGATTTTTAGTCTTGTGTTGAATAAAAAATATTTGCATCAATATAAATTTAATCAAATCAAGACTAAAATTTTTAAGAATATTATAATATTCTTACTTGTATAATTAATAATATTTATCTTGATTTAGATAGATTAATTTTTTTCTAATAAAAAGTGAAATAAAATTATGTAATAAACCTGAATTAAAAATGAAAATATAAAAGTTAAATTTACCTAAGCCAAATTTTTCTAGCTCTTTGATAATACAAAAGCTAAAAAAATCTAATTGAAAAGTAAAAGATTTTAATTAACAAAACGTCAAACAAAGAATATGATTTTGCGATAAACTACTTCTATTGAATCATTTATCACTTACTTAAAGTATTAGAATTATAATTGATAATTAATTTCGACGAGATTATTCAGATGAATTTTAACGCGGAAAAGAAACATTGACTTTGACGCGACTATTTTACTTTCGTAGGCATTATCACTCGATGGAAGTATTTGCCACTTTCGATGTAATCGATTCGAGCGGCAATAAAGTCGCCGAAGGCCACAAAGCGTCCTTCTGCCTCGAGGACAATCAATGTCTGCCCGATGTCCAACCCAGGTAAAAATTCTGACAACACTCGCAGGACCTTCTTTTCGCTCGTAACACGCAATTTGTATATATAATTTCGCCGTAGTGCCATTTTACATTCGTCTTTTCACATTCGTAATCACATTCGATTCACATTCGCTTATTAGTCGAAGATCATAATTTGAAATGTCGTTACCGTTTTAGATACAAATGCGCCAATTACGGAGACCAAGGCATTTCCGTTAATTGCAGTGACATTTACAAGCATAATATCGACTGCCAGTGGGTGGACATTTCCGAGCTCGAGCCGGGACATTACACGCTCAAGGTACAGTCGTAATAAAGCCATTTTCATAAATACCGAACACACGAGATCTCCCCTCGAACGAGTTCGCGGTATCGAGAGAATTCCGATTCCGGAGGGAATTTTCACAACGAGGAATTTTCTTTTGTTTCCAGGTCGCTGTGAATCCCGAATTCAAAGTTGGCGAGATGTCGTTCGATAACAACGCGGCGATCTGCCGTTTGCTTTACACGGAAACTTTTGCAACTGTCCACAGTTGCATAATGGGACGTCCTTGACACGATGCGTACTTGATTGCAGGGATTTTTCTAGCTGGCGACAATCTACCGGGGGGGAGGAGAGGGGGGTGAGAGATTAATATCGAGCGCGTTGGACATGATGAGCAAAAGATGACGTAGTAAGACCTTACAATATGTATAGATTCACAAATGAATTTTATAGTACGGAATGAGATTTCAATTAAAAGATGCATCGCGCGAAATTAAAAAAATGACAATGGTAAGGTTGGAAAGAAATTGCGACGTCGCTGCTAAAAATTATTACGCTAGTTGAAAGATTCATATTTAGATATGCCCACTGGATCCTTATAATTTTATGAGCTAGGTATTTTTAGTAGGATTATAAATTTAACGACAAACTAACGTAAGAGAATAAAAGCAATGTTGAAATACAAAGACTGAATTTTAATTTCCATCAAACTCTAAACTGCTATGAATTTATTTGCCTCAGACTTAGATACGTATTTTATTAATTAACTGTATTTTATATTATATTACAGATTTTGAAATTATTTTACTCTAAAATGTAAAACATGAAAAAAAGATACTAGAAAGTATATTATGAATTGTATAGAAAGTTTTTACCAATTTTATCAGAGAGCAACCTTCGTCTTTTATACTTTTCGTATTTTTTATTCGACATTTCTATATGATTCTCTTAGAATTATTCCCATTAAATTCACGGAGGAGTTACAACGACGAGGCAGTTTTTAAAAAGGATATCTTTTCCCACTGTGCCCACTGAATACCCGGTCTCTGCTCTCGGATTTCTAAACCCTATCGTCTCCATTCACGCGACTTTTCGGATAATTACAGAGCGCTGTGATGAGAGCCCCCGGCCGGGGCTAATTACTAACGTGGCTCGGCTGTATAGGTGTCTAGGCCTGTGTGCGCCTAATGAGAAGCAACCGGGTGTGCAGATCGAAACTGCCCAGTTGGCCAGCCACTTCCTCGGCCGACATGCTGGCCGTGTACGGAATCACAAGTTTCGGAGTCTAGGATCGCACTTATAGACGTCCCACGGCCGTGGAACCGCTCTAGATTCATCCATGGCCGCGGGGACTCGTCTCTAGAAAAAGTTCCGGAAAGATAGACGAAACGCGCTCGATAAAAATTTACAACGGGCCACCCTCGGAGGAGGGTGGTGCTCGGAGGAATCCGAGAGACCGTCTAATCTCGCGTGTGCGGCGATTTATGACTCTTGGGAAAATGACTGATCGCGGGCATATCGGAGATACAGGTTTCGCTCTAGGCCGCGTCTAGGATAGAGGCGTGCTACGTCACGCACGCGTACTATGTTGAATATTACCGGCTGGCTACCTGCTGGCAGGTCTGTTCCCACACTGCTGTATCCGCAGCTAGAATGACTATATAACGACTCGGATCTCTCGACTTCCTGCATACAGAGTGTCTCGATATTATCAGCGAAGTTATTCCAAAAAGATTTACAAAGGTGATTAATTGGAAAGCTCACGAATGAAAGTTCGCAAATAACCACAGTGACTCAATTTTGATCTGATATTTGATCTGACAGTAATAACATATAATAATATATAGCGAGTGATTGCTTGAAAAGGATATTTTTCAGTTTCTTCAGTTTTCGCTTAAGAGTAAGCTAAATTTTCATGGGCTAAAAATTTCTTATGCAAATTTACATTTTCTTATGCAAATTTACGTTTTTAATAATGTATACATAGAGGTACCATGGTAAAATCGTGAGATAATGCATATTTTACGAGATATTTCATATTATTATGTCAAAAGGAATAAGGATAAAATACAAAATTTCTCATAAAATATTAATTTTTCAATAACTCATCTCTTTCTTTTAAAATATAAAAGGGGAGACGTAAAAAAAAATTGCAAAACTTTTGAAACTCTTTAAACAAAAAATTTAATATAGCGCATTATAATTAAATCTAATCTGTCGCGATAATAAATTTCGCATTTTGCATAAATTTAATATATGAAAATAATTGTGATTTTTGGATTCCTGTGTGGCATCTTTCATTTTAAAAATGGAATAAAAAAATATATATTTAATTTAATTTTAAGTTGATAAAAGTTTAAAGAGAAGATTCCTTCAAAGATATTTCTCCCCATTCGGAGAAAGCAGACTGTGTCACGAGAGATATAAAATAATTATAATAGTCGTCGTAACATTCGCCCTGTTTTAAGCGAATTAAATCCGTGATCACGAAGGCACGGCGTCATAAAGCGGACTTGCGAAAATTAAGTTAACTTTGATCAATTCTCGGTCTTTCTTCGCAGCGAAAAAATAACCTGGTCAAAGTGTGGTTAAAATGTTGTTTTATAAAAAAAAATATTTTACAGTATTTATATTGCATATAATAATAATAATAATAATAATAATAATAATAATAATAATAATAGTAATAAAGTATGAAGAAAAATAATAACAACAATTACATTTATAATTTTTAAAATATAATAATATAAAGTAAAGCCTAATGATAAATTAAATTCTGCCTAGTTTCTATTTGCTTTTTTTTTTTACGCGAGGGAAAAAGTCGACTGCCAATTACGCGTCGCACACAGCAACGTGACCAATATAATACGTTTAAAAAAAACATAAGGGTAGTCCAACAGGGATACGGCTTCCGTTGATTGCGTCGAACGTCGCTCAGTATCGCGGCGACTTTTACCTCGCATGTCGCGCAAGGAAAGTAATGATCCGCGTGTAAAAATCCTCGCGACTGCTATCATATCTAAAGATCATAATTGTCCGGGGGAGAATTTTTCGAAGCGACAAAATCACCAAGAATATAATTTATCAAACGCTCCAGGGGTTGAGTATGTTTGAAGTAGCGAAACTTTCCGAGGGGTGGAATCTCTTCAACGACGTCCGAGAAGGGTAGTCAGTCGCGTGCACTTCGACGGAAATTATATTCGCCGAGTAGAATTTTTCCGAGCGACAGGATTATCCAAGAAGGAAGATCGATATCGAAGTTAAGGCTTCTGAGCGTTTAGGTTCCGTCAACCGAGCGTAAAATAGGCCCTGACGTCCGCCAGTAATCACAAAAATTAGAACAGCAAAGATAAAGCGAGGCGCGCGTGTTTCGTGCCAATTGTTAAACGGCGGAGTGGCGCTTGTCACGCGATTTAATAAACGCCATCGAAATTAATGCTCAAGAGAGCGGATGTGGCTTTCGTGAAAAATGCCCTTCGTGCTAAACGATTCATTGCGACCGTAATGTCACCTAGAATCATGAATACTGATCGTTACGCCTGATTACATGTAAGTATAAATATAACAGATATTACGTTATTAAAATAAATCTAATTCATATATATATATAAGAATATGAAATAACATAGAATATTATATATAACATAGAATATATTAAATATAGAATAACATAGAATATATTAATATATTAAAATAAATAAATAATAAATTAATGCATAGAAGTTGTATAAATTAAAGCTATTAATAGATAATAATTAATAAATAATAAAAATAGGAAAAAAACGAAAAAGTATCAGACACATTTACTTGTCGGAATTCGTACGTGCATAAATTATTTATGCCTAAATGATAAATTAAAAGATGGCGAATGATATACTCATTAAGATTTCGTTTTTGCTAAATATTATTCCGTTAATTCTGAGCGCGGATGAGCAAATAATGTGCTCTAAAAACGATGCTTTATTGGAGATCACGGGTGACGCTATTTTAACGGGTAAGCCATCAATTTAGTCATCAATATTTCATTCAATTTGATCTGAATTTATAAATATTTTATGAATAATTTATATTTATACATAGGATGTATAAAAAATTAGTTAGCATTGCGATGCTATTTTATAGCAATAAGGGCAGAATTTAAATAAAATTTTTTTATTATTATAATATACATTACCTTTTATTATTAATTGCAGTTATAATTATTTCCCTTATAAGTGATTATTGTAGTTATTGATAAATCTCTCTTCAATCTGAATTGCATATATTTTAGAGAAATAATTGAAAAACTTTGCCATTCTTCTTATCTCTTAAACACTTTTTTTTATTTTAATCAATAAGAGAAATTGGAACAACTTTTACTTTTCCTTTCTTACTTTTGATAATTGGACGACAATCATCGATATTGGATCAGTCTTCGTAGATGCCAATTACGGACAATATTGCAATATATCGTCATCCAAAGGTCTTCAACAAATTTCGACGATCTTATACGTGATGCAAACTTTGAATAAATATGACTACGTACCGGGTGTAAAATTAGGTAAGCCAAAATTATTTTGCATTTACATGTATCTGTTAGTCAAATTATCAACTATATTACAATAGTAAAAATAAAGTACAAAAATATGATAAAAAGAATTCCACATAAATCTTATGGAAAAGAGCTCTCAATTAAATTGCTTCAAACTTTAATATTTTGTAGCTCATATCAAGTTTGTAGCTGATTAAAAGTCCTTACGGGCACAGACCTTCAAATGCCTTAGTTTTTGCTCCAAGAGATCTTCCATTTTTGGAAGATCATCTTATGCGAAAAAATAGTTAAAATATCTGTTTTATTAACATTAGTTATGAATATTGTATAATACATGGATATATACTATGTATGTATGTCACGAAAAAACATATCAGAACACTCAAGCATAAGCGCATGTTAATTGTGTGTCGAACACAAAATAAAATATTTTCAATTTTTGGAAACCCTAACATGCTTCTGGGAATTAAAATGAAATATAATCTTTTTCAGGATATTTTATACCGTAATAATATTTTTCAAAATATTGAAAAATGTCATATTTTTTTTGTTGATATTTTCGTGATATATATGTCCGATATATTTTTTCGTGATACATGTATACATATATCTATGATTATGATGTAGTACTCATAACTAATCTTATGAAAAATGGCTCTCAGTTAAATTGCTTTAAATTTTAATATTTTGTAGCTCAAGCTGATTAAAAATTCTTATGGATACAAACCTCCAAATGCCTTAGTTTTTGCTCCAATATCTTCGGAAGATTATCACATCTTATACGAGAAAATAGTTAAAAATAAAAAAGATTTATTTTTAACTATTTTTTCATAAGAACTTTTAATCAGCTTGAGCTACAAAATATTAAAATTTAAAGCAATTTGACTGAGAGCCATTTTCCATAGATTTGTACGGGGTTCTTTACATGATTTAATTAATAATATGTTAAACATCATTTCAATTTCGTTATCATTTCAAAAAAATTTTATCAAATTAATTTAAATTAAAATTTAAAAATTCATATTCTGAAAAAATAAATAAAATAAATTCTTAAGTAACATAATGAATTATTATCCTAGAATATGAAACCGATGAGATATGAAATATTAATAATAAATGATCAATTAAGTTTCATAATAATAATATCGCAAATAAATTAAAAAAATGACACATTGAACTTTAAAATACTTTTATCAATATATTGTCTCAAAAAGTTTATTATTAATTATCTCTTATTTCATTATTGTTAGTTATCCCATTTCAAAATCAAGGTAATCCCGAAGATATGTTTAAGATGTATGTTCTCATGAAACTATCACGTGTATTAGGGCTAAGAATCTTCGACACGTGTCAAGATGGAATTACGTTGTTTAGACAAGTCTTGCGAGTAGCTGTTGAGCAAAGTTGTGCGTTGAATTACGAGATGGGTGTGATGGTGCCGTCTCGATTAAGCTTCATGATGGATTATCTGCGTGATCATGGCAATCTGCCTATTAGCGTCTACGGGGAACGGGATTTCACGATGCCTGCGATCGATATCCTGGCGCACTATTTGACCACCAGGTACGAGATTGTTGATCTGGTACACGCCAACGCGGATTCTGTTCTCGATCATTTCCTGGAAGTTACCAAGGACGCTGGTGTATGCGTGAAACGAAGTGACAGACGCGTCAACGGCGACAGATATGCGAACGTCACGGAAACGACGATAGTCGCAATCGGCGAGAGAAATGACGTGCTGCGATGGCTGGAAGAGAATGAGGAATCGGGTGGTTCCAGGAAAACGTGGCTTCTGCTGCCGCTCGATAATTCGGATATTGACGGCAAGTAATTTTAGATATCGACGGTTGATGAAGAAATTGCAAGCAGATCCATCTCTGCGCAAAAACCTACTTAATAAAGCGAAATACATCCTCTTTCTTCTTTTTATCACAACACAAGGGAAGCTCTTCTAACGTCTTGTTCTAATATATTAATTTTACATCTTACCTTACCCGTCGTAAATGTACAAACATTAATCTAAATTAATGTCAAGTATTGTGTTAAATATTGACGTCGAAATTGTGCTTGTAGCTACATTAGCCAAGTTTAGCCGTGGTAGTTGGGAGTTAAGAGACAGTTTCACCAACATCGTTTAACTTTAATCTTAGTTTGAGCGGCCTTTTGTTTCTGTCCAGAGCTAGAGCGGAACAACAGAACGGTTAAACTCAACAATTAAAGTCAACCGCTATTGCTAAAGCCATTAAATAAATTAATTTGCGCAAATAAAATATGACGAGAAATTTTCGACAATTTACAAAATAGAAAGAAAATTCGTTTAGTTTAACTCTGCATGTTCAGATTTCTTTTAAATATTCAATTTCAATAAGTTATTACCTTATTGCTCGCGCGGATGTAATAATCCTAGACGGATAGCCTAAAATTTGGAGGGATATTAATCTAAATTTAGCGCACCGACAACATCGTATCTTCCAGATCTCGTGCCATCCGGATCGTATGTCATTAAGCCGGAAATTCCTCGTTTCGATCTTGGCGGATTCTCAAGCGCGGATGAATTTCTGGAGAACTCCGGAAACTCGGTGTCCGGAAACCGCTCTCCGTATCTCCTCGACATCGGAAAGGCCGTCATTGAGATTGCGGAAGCCTTCCGGAACGTCCGCGAGAGAAGCTGTCCCATCGATAACACGGAGGACTGCATTGTGGCGCAATTCGGTACAGAATTGCAACGGCAAATTCGCGATCTCGACGTCTACGAAATTCTTCGCATACAACCGCGGTCACACTCGGTGAGATATGTGGTCACCACGAAAACGCAGCACGAACTCGTTGACGTTGCTTCCTACGAAATTGAAGTGGCCAAATTACGCGTTCTCCCGGTGAGGATGACGTCCAGAATACCAGGACTTTGCCTGGAGCATCTTGCCATCAATTGCGAGAACTGTACGAATTTTCAGACACGCTCCAATGCGCAAGATGTTACAAAAGGTAAGAGGGATATAGGAATATAATAACTACCAGTGATGTAAAAGATACATTTTTGTAAATAAATATATAGATATATATAGATGTCAATTATTTTTTTTAAATTAAATTTATTATGTATTTATAAATTAATGGTTATTAAATATTTATATTATATTGTAATATAATAATAAATATAAACATCACTTAAAATTAAATAATTGCTCAAAAATTCTAAAATTTAATCCAAAATTTATCAATTTTATCTATCAATTTTAAATCAAAATTTTTACTTTTTTTAAATACTTTTTATACTTTTAATACTTTTTAATTTTTTTATTTTTATTCTTCTCCTCTATCTCAAATTAATATAATATTATTTCGAATCATATTAAAAAAATTTATTTTTTAAATTTATTAGTTTATTAGTTTATTAGTTTATTATTTTATTAAATATATTAAATTTAATTCTTAAAATACTTATAGATTTATATTATAGATACAAAAATAGATATATAAAGATATAAAATATATAGATATATAGATATATAATTGTAGTAGTATACTTTAAGAAAAATATAATTAAGTACAGATACAATAATTTTTAAAATGTATCTAGATGTATGTAGATATATTTCTTCATTTTACTTTTTAAATGTATCTAAATACAATCTTTTTCAAATATTTAATTTGGTGATTTTATATTTAGAATCATCTTAAGTTATCTTAAAACATTATTAATCGGATGATTATATCAACAGCTTGAGATGGCTAAAATGACTTTAAAAAAACAGGCTATGCCTGTATTAAAACAACAAAAAAATCATCGAGAGAAATAAAAAAATACTCCTGGAGGAATTATTTCTATCTATTTAAATTTTGTTCTATTTGAAGGTTGTTCAAAAAATTTATGTACCTAAAACGATATTTTAAGATAGAAGAATAAGATACAGAAAAATATAACTAGTTATTATTACAGTTATTATTAAACATTTAATTAGTTACACAAATATATAAAAAGTATTTAAATAATATATTTTACATCACTGAATAATACTATTACACAATTCATAGCTGAATTACTACTAAGAGATCTCGCATGACTATAAGCATTAATTTTTTATTTTCCGTTAAGATTTTTTATTCATCTAAAAGTTTTTTTTATATAAATATCTTTCCAAATCTCATCATAATCAATAAAACTATTACAAATTTTATCAAATCACATACATATTTTTAGATTTTATTGTTTACCTATTATATATGTATATAGTAAATTTATATAATAAATATTTTTATAATTTGTTATATTTAAATATAATAAATTTTACAATATATATCAATAATCTAAATATATATCAATATTCCAATAATATTAATATATAATAATATAATATATATATATATATATATATATATATATATATATATATATATATATATATATATATATTTAATATGACATTTGATATCTCAATTTTCAGCAAATGTTGACAAAAATGTTCTGAAGAATAGTATCTACGTTCCTATTTTCTTAATCGCTATCGTTTGCGGCACTGTCGCGTGCTGCGTCATGGTGTTCTTTATCGTCTATCGTTTCGCGACTGAAGAGATGCTCGACGGCAACCCGGCCCTTACGATCGTCCTTGTCTTGGCCAATCTATTTACCCTACTGACAGCAATACCCTTCTGCATGACGGACGATTATTTCGGCGCGGAGAATCTGAACGCTCGGAAGATCCTTCTCACTACTCTCGCATTTGGCCTCACATTCTCGATTATGCTTTCGAGAGCACTTTTCTTGGCCTTGGCCTCCACGGGCAATGTCTTCGTTCACATTAACGGATACTTACAGAGTCTTATGACGTTCTTCATGTGCGGAGTTCAAGTTGCTATGTCGATTATGTATTTCGTTTTGAACACAACAAATTCCGCTGTGGCTGCCAGGAGCCTCATTTTTATTGCATTACTAGGTACATTGACTAGATTATTTATTAATTCTATATTGAGTTTATGTAAGCGATTGTGATTCACATAATTAGAAAAATTTCTAATTAATTTCTGTATTTTAATTTTTAAGCCGATTATTTTCTTCTTACAAATTTTGATTACTTAATCTGCCTTATTCTTATTTCTATCTTATTTAATATTATATATCTTACATTTCTTTAGAAGCAATTGCCATTATTTTACTAAAATCAAAATTCTATTATTGTTTCCAGGATACGATATATTTCTATTAATTGCATTCTTCATTACTTGCTGCTCCATTATTCGAATACAACGTAACTATCACGAAGGAAAATGCTTCTTCGGCACTGCTATCGGTTTACTAATTACATGGGCGATGTGGCTGATTTGCTTCATGCTGATGCAGCTAGAAAATCGTGATGCAATTGTTTCCTTCGGTATAATTATCACGACTTATTTAATTATTTTCGGTGTCTTGATACCAAGGATTTATTATATGGTCACACACATATCGGAAGGAAAAGATCTCGGACGAAGATTCGATCTCATCAATTTACCAACTGATTCGATTGTTAATACGATCATCGGACAGGTCAGGATGTAGCATGTTCTTTTTAAATTAATAATTATTAAAAATAATCAACAAAAATAACGAAGAAAAAAAATAACGAAATTTTATTATTAATTTTTGCAATTACAATTTTTATGCTATCGATTATTATAATTTTAATTATAAATTTCTAATTTTCATAGTTAAAATTTGTATTATAGTAAGCAAAATAACTCAACAATTTAATATATTAGAATTTAATGTTATTAGTAATGAGGGAATTCGGTTTACAGTCGCGTTCCCACGATTATGTTCATCCTATTAGAGAAAGTCAAGTTTTACGAGTGCCATCGCCGTGTCCAAATTATTACGGTAATTCAAGCCTGCGTTTGAAACATCTCGAGAGATGCAAAAGTCCAAATCACCATGAAACTATATATAATAATTACGAATTTGCGGAAATGAAGGAGACTGACACTACCGCGCCACAAATATACACAGAGAACATGAAGGTGAGTATATTTCTCAAAACGCAAAAAATGTACCAAATATATTTTTTTCATATAATAAGCAAAAAATAGTATTTTTCTTTACTCAATTTTACTCAATTATACTCAATTTTATGTGATTTATGCGCATATTGAAAAATAATTATACATAACGTTGATGACTGTATAAAAACATTATATAAAACTCCATTAAACATAAATTTTGCCTCGATTAAAAAAAATTTGTAAATTTTTCAGTCTTCAAATAATGTCATTTACGCGCAACCAAGAGTCTACAAGTCGCAGAGGATAATTTTTGGGGAAAGAAGCAACGCAGAAGCTAGTTATAATAGAAACAATTCTTCACCTATCTCTAGACCACATGTCGAAATGTATCCTATGAGATATACCAATCCAACAAATATGGCGAGGGAACGAAAAATCGATGAAGAGGAAGAAGAGGAAGACGAGGAGAATGAGGAGGACGAAAGTGACAGCAGAATTACCCGCTTTTGACAAATTTAGTCAATCTAATATTGAGTGCCCTATATCTTTATAACTTTTCCAGAAAACCATAAATTTGTAATAAAATGATTTTAAAATAATTATAGATTTAAATTCCGAATTTAAAACCTGGTTTACATGATTTCATATGACTTTAAGATTTTTGTAACCATTGTATATCTTGTATAAAAAAACATATAAAAAACATATAAAAATGTAACGAATTTATCTCAATATGCAAACGATTCCATTGTCAGATTTTAAATTTATAAAGCGGAACGATTATTTCACGACGTACATACCATTAAAACATTATGAAACGCATCACAATTTTAAACATATATATAATAAAATACTTATTACGTTCCATAAGGCTCGGTTCTCTCGCGGCGCGACATGGGTTGTGTGACGTCAGAGACGAGAAATGACATGTAAAAAGTTTCTTGCGTCGTACAGCTTTATCTTGTACTTTTCCCTTAAAAACATGATATTTTCGTATTCTTAAAACTTGTAAAAAATATTAGAAAATAAGATATCTGTCCAATAAATCAAGTAAAAGTGTAAAATAATTCTTGAAATAATGATCACTGCTTAGCTATCAGAAACAACTAGATCTAGTGATCTGGTAATTTCTGATAGCTAAGTACTGACCATTATTTCAAGATTTATTTTACACTTTTACGTGATTTATTAGACAAATATCTTACTTTCTGATATTTTTTACAAGTTTTAAAAGGGAAAAGTACAAGATAAAGCTATATGACGTAAGAAATTTTTTACATGTCATTTCTCGCTTCTGACGTCATAATTCGACATGATTGCAGAGAGAGACACTCAAGCCTTAAACGTTTTTATAATAGTAAATAATATAAAATCAAATTACAATAACAAATAATAAATAAACTATAAAAAATTAAATTAAAAGAATATTAACTATCATTTATGATAAGAATAAATGTAAGTAATTATTAGAGTGTGCTTTTTATTAAATTTTATTAAATTTTACATCAAGCTTTTTATGTAATTAATTATTCTTTTCTTAAATCTCTCTCTGGAAAAATATTATAGGAATGAAATAGTATTTATAAGGCTTCTTAAAATATCGATTATTGCATCATAAAATAAAATTAAGGTTTCATAACATTCTATTCAAGTTCCTAAATTAATATCGCGGTCGCGATATAATAAATATCTAATTAACTTTCAAAATCTATTTATTAAATTGTATTGTGTTTCAAGATTTCAATTTGAATTTTTTAGTAGGAGCATGACTAAATACGAGCATAAATCTTACTAATTATTGAACTCCTTTGTAATTATTGACAAGCTCGTTGACCAATTCGGCGGTGAAGGTTCCTCGTTACATTAACCGAAGAGGACACGAGCGGAAAGTTGCGCCATGCACGGAGCAGAATCAATTTAGCATGCACCTCAACGTCGAAATTGCATTATGGTCGATCGTAATTTTGCAAGCAGGACACAGGTGTGTGCTTCGCGGGAATATCGATGACGAAATAGCGAGATAGCGGGTGTACAACAAAGGGACTCGTGGAAATGAATTTTACGTTCATTACACGTATGAGAGGACAATTCGTCATTTGCGTGCGAATGTTTTATCTCTTTTTATTCCTTTTTTCCGATATCACTAAATAGAAAATATCACGATTAAATTTCACTAATATAAATATAAAGTCACTTTTATCATTCGAAATCGCGAATTTTATTAAATTAATAACAAATTTATAATATGCTTTTACTTGAAGAGAACAGTGATGTTGGAGTTAATAAAAATATACAAATAAGATTTCTGTACTTAAATAATGGTATTTAACATATTGATAAATTGATATACATTTCAAAATTTCAAATTAATCAATTAATTTTTTGAGAAGAC